AAAAAGTAATTTGTTCTTAATTTATAACATGGATTTAACTAATAAATAATTAAGGCTCTATTTTCTTCTACGGGCTCTTATAATCATAAATTACTTGTACACTCAAAGGTCCGTAGTTTTTATGGGAATACCCCTAAGACATTTTTGCATACGCAATGGTATCATCGACTTATTTGCATTTTTAATTTGCTCCAACGGATACACTACCTAAGTACCTATTACTATCTAGTATCTGATATAGAATGAGACCCTTGTTGCACTTGGCAAGGCCCAATAAAGATTCACCACTATTATCATCTAATTAAAACAATTTGTTCTTAGCTAGGAATTTTTTGGCATGGATATTGGATACTGGATACTGCCATATACGAAGTATATTCACAATTTCAATGGTAAGGACAACTATTATTGTAGAATTTTAACTCTTGATGGATGGAATGTATTTCAAACTTCATTATTTCATTTTCTTCTACTTGCAATATTTTCTGTGTTTTATGTTTGTCATGGAATAACTTTAACCATTAACTAGTTTTGTGTCCGGGCGATATCAAGATTGTTGATAAAATCTTAAGATATATAAACTTTTGGCTTGAATGTTAAATATGGGCACATAATGCCTTTTGATAATGCAATAAATTTAGACATATGATATCATAAATAGTGTATTTTTTGTAGTTTTGTTTGTAAATAGATTTTATTAATTCTGTATTATTTTTTAAATAAATTAAATACATAATAAATGGATCTTATTTTAAAGAACTTTTAAAAACGAATTTTATGATGGAAATAGAACCGAGTTATTGGATTTTTATTGAAAGTTATGATTAATTTCGTAAATAAAAAATATTAGAAGTATATCGATAATAAAACTCTATACAACATTTTTATCTTAAAAAAATATACCCAAAATTCGCTTATTTAGCATCATATGTGTCACAATAATACTTATTTGTCACCTAAGTGGCATGATATTTGGCGAAAAATTAAATGTCAAGTGTCGTTGTCTCGTGGCCTGGCTGTGAGACTGGCTTTATTTATTAATGACTAATTTTCCGGACGATGCCCAGATGGTTAATAAAATTTTGAGATAACATTTTTACTTGAATGTTAAATACAATCGAATAATTCGTTCTGATAATGTAGGATATTTAGATATATGATATCATATGGAGTGTACTTTGTGTAGTTTTGTTTGTAAATAGATATCTATGTCATTATTGTCTTGAAATTACTTTTATTAAACTCAAATTATTTTCACTGAACTGAAAGTATTTTTACCAAACTAAAATTATTTTTACTAATTTTTTTACTGATTCTATAATATTTTTTTTACATAAATTAAATAGCAATGCATTTTATATGCTGCTAACCACAACATCATCTGGCTGGACAAAGTAACCCCTATAAAATTGATCGAGTAACCCCTGAAATACTAAGTGAGTAACCTCTGTAATACTAACTGAGTAACCTCTAACACTGACTAAGTAACCCCTATCTATAACACTGATTGAGTAATTAACCACTACTATAACACTAACCAAGTAACCCCTATACCACTAACGAAGTAACTCTGATCTTGTAATGGTTGGTGACACGGTTTGGCCAGCTACGTATAAAAGTTTGTGATTAAATATATTATAAATGAATCTTATTTTAAAGAACTTTTTAAAACAAATTTGATGATGAGAATAGCATTGAGTTATAGGATATTTATTAAAAGTTATGATTAATTTTAATTTTATACATGAAACATTAGAATTTTATCGATAATAAAACTCTATCCAACAATTTTATCTTAAAAAATCTATCCAAAAATCGCTTACTTAGCATCATATGTGTCACAATAATACCTATTTATCTCCTACGTGGCGCGACACTTGGCGAAAAACTAGAATGTCAAGTGTTGCTGTCTCGTGGCCTGGCTGCAAGACCGGCTTTATTTATTAGTGATATATGATATAGTAACTTGTTTTTTTCGGATGCAGACATATGAGCTAATAATAGTTGAGTTCATAGTTTCATTTGTTGTTACTAGATACTTCACATGCATATTACACCAATTGTTCATGTTTAGTGCATTAATTAGAGTTTTATTATACTGCGAATTATATTCCGTATGTTTTATTTCTATGTAGAATGCATTTACGCGTTTTGGCACTGAATAATGCATATTATATTGTAATATACTCTGTATACTACACTTGTGAATGCATTAAGAAAAAAGTTTTTGTCACACTTTTAGACATACGTTAGCTAAGGATTTTTACGCACTAATGAAAGATTTTACTCCCTCAATTTTCTTTTTAAGTACTGTTTAACACAAATTAAAATTGCTATAAAGAGCCTTATTGCCTATTTAAGAATGTTTAGATTCATTTTTTGCAAATTAACACACACACTTGTGCCTTTTGCGCTACATCTTTCACGTACTCTTTTTTTATCATCAGTTTTGTTCATCCATAAACCTCAAATGTAATATAACCGCACGTACATTTTCCATCAATGCAAGAAGTCAAGATCTCCTTGTGAAAAAACGAGTTTACTAGAGTACATAGACCAACTTAAATAAAGGCAAGTGTATCATAGATTCTCCTTAGTCTTTACAATCCTAATACTTCGTAGTATTTGCTCGTGAAAATTAAAGTCTAGTCTAAGTATGTTATATAACACTTAGTAGACAAAGTCAACCATGAAACCGTGTTGATGCAATGCAAAAATACCTGATTCATAAAACGTTGACTTTATGACTTAACAGAAGACCCAAAAAAACTACTCCCTCCTTTTTAAAATACTTGTACCATTTCTTCATGCGAGGAGTTTAAGAGTAATTGGAGAAAGTAATAAAATATGGAAGTAGTGGGGTTGGTGGAAGAATAAAAAATTGTAAAAAACAAAAGTAGTTGAAAGAATTGGAGGAGAGAGAATATGAAATTACGGAGTAATAAAATATGATTTATGTTGGGACCACTAGTTGAGGAAAATGAATTAAATATTGTAAAATCTTTCTAAATAAGGAAATATAGCAAATATTTAAAAACGGAGAGAGTAAAAGAAAATAACAAATTACTCCCTCTGTCCCTTTATTTTTGCACCATTACATTTTTTGGGTAAAATTTGAAAATTTTGACCATAATTTACCGTTAATCTATAAAAGATAATATAGTCATGAGTGGTCTAGTTAGATTTGTCTCATTGTATATTTTATTAATATCATGTTTTTATAATTTTTACGTATATGGAAATAAAGATATAAACGTTTTAAAATGCGTCTTGGAGACCGCGCATAGTCAAATAGGGCAAAAAAATAGGGAGTACGTATGAAAAAGAAGAAAAAAAAAAAAAAAAAGAGTTTGACTTGGTTACTCCATAATAATCGATTTAACTTAATACTTGGAAAGTTGAAAACCTTATACGGAGTACTAGTTTTAATACGGAGTACTAGTATTAATTAGGTAATACGCCACTTTCTTAAAATCTTTTACACTTTTCTTCATTTTTAGACTTAGTCTTACGTTTTGAGATTTTTAGATTTAGATTAGATTAGAATAGAGGTGCGCATCCTTAAAACATACAAATTGCCAAATTGCCTTGATCTATTGCATTTTGCACGTTTAAGAAACTATACTTGCCTACATTTTTATGGAACTTGATTGGAGCACAAAAGACCATCTTATGCTTTCTTTGATTCTTGTTATTTTAAGTTTTAAGTTTTGCTCGTGAATACGCATAATTTTGAAAATTAATAAAAACTTTAATTATACAAAGTGTATTAGATAAAATTACATTAAGAGTACTTTACATTATTGATACATCACTAGTGGTTGTAACCAATATACAGTACAAGACTACAAGGGAATAACATTGGGAATAAAGATGTCACTAATTTGAGACGATCAGGATAAGGGGGGATTCGGAAAGTGAATATAAGGGATCTTAATTAATGATGGACGATAGATTCGTTTTCCAAGCTTGCATCTTTCAATTATCTTCAAATACACTCTTGTACAAGAATTACAATCATTGTTTAAAGCTCTTTTATAAAAGTGTAAGGAAAAGATCAGAACTACTCCGTAAGACATTTTACTAGTGAGACATTGTTTTGTCCATTTGAAGTGTTTGGTATTACTCTTTCCATTTTGAAATACTACGTACTACATAATACGGAGTATATACCTTTTCGAAACACAAACAAGATAAGAAATTTTCCATTTTATTTCATTTTGTTTATTTTCACCTTAGCCTAGAGGTAAACAACAATGTGCCGAATCGTGCTTTAGGGGGTGGGGTGGGGGTGGAACAATTAAGGATTGGGCCAAAATGGCCGGGCCTAAAAATCAATACTTAGGTTTAAAATCACATGGTTGGAGTCCAATTTCATTTTAACCAAATTTTAGGCCAAAAGTTGGGGCCCAGACCAAAAACCATGCTTGAACGTTCACCCAATACTTTTTCGAGATGATGAGCATGATGGACTCTAGTCAAGCTTATAGAGATCACCTCCACGGCTACGTCATCAACCAAAAGCTTAAGCTGATGGTTGAGCCTAAGAAATATGTTTTATACTTTATCAAATATTTTATATCATTTTTATTTACATGAAAATGTAAATTAAGAATAGTGACATACTACCTCAATTTCTTATTATTTACATCAAAGGAACATGTCTCACAAAAAATACCCCTTCATTGCAAACAATAAAAAAAATCAGGTAACATAAAATTCGATTCGAAATCTCCAATACTTTATAAATTTACCAAATTTACTAATTAACCTCATGCATATTTCAACACTCCAACTTTAAACCTTTTTTTAACATAACAATCTCCACACGCTACTTTAATATGGACACTAAGGGGCACATGCATAACCCCCTAAATTAGGCCCGTATCCTCCTTGACTACTTACTTTTTAAGTTAACAAAAGTCAAATTAAAGCAAATTGGTTGTTTTAACATCAAGAAACGACCTTAACTCGTTTATAGCAACGAGAAACAAGCTCTTATTTCATTTTATAACTTCCAATCACATTTTCAAACTCAGTTTTTCATCCTATAACCCCAATTATAAAGTTTATAACAACCCTCAAAAACCAAGAATATTCACATTTTTTCAATATGAAACCATCGATAATTACAAATAATGTTACACCAAAGCAAAGTAATGGTAAAAGATTTATCATTTCTTGTTTCTTCATCATTTGTTTTCTTTGTACTTTAGCTTCAATCAATGAAATTAGATACGAGAGCTTGTTAAATCTAAGCAAATGTGCTTTCTCTAGAGCGCCTTCTCTTCTTTCTAACTCGTCGTCATTGGATTCATTTCCGCTTTCTTTACGTACAATCAAGTCATCTCCTTCGGATGATGAGATTCGAGTTCTTGTAGGGATTTTAACGTTACCGGATCAATATCACAAGCGACATTTCCTAAGGATGATCTACGGAACGCAATCGCCGGAGGGTGCTAGAGTAGATTTGAAGTTTGTGTTTTGCAACTTAACAAAGGAAGATCAAAAAGTGCTTGTTGCCCTAGAGATTATGCGTTATAATGATATTATCATCCTTAATTGTTCGGAAAACATGAATAAGGGTAAGACTTACACTTATTTTTCAAGTCTCCCTAATATATTTAATAACAATGAGGGTCCATACCCTCCTTACCATTATGTTTTAAAAACCGACGACGACACGTATTTTAGGTTGGATAATTTGGTCAAGTCTTTAAGGCCTTTGCCTAGGGAGGACTTGTACTATGGATATGTTATCCCGTGTCCTAGTATGGACCCGTTTGTTAATTATATGTCCGGAATGGGATATTTGGTATCATGGGACATAGCGGAATGGATCAAGGAATCAGATATTCCGAAAGCCCATCTGGAGGGTCCGGAAGATAAAATATTTGGAGACTGGATGCGAAATGGGCATCGTGGTAAGAACCGATTTAATGCTAAGTGGTCGATGTACAATTACCCGGAGCCTCGCACGGGGTGTACCCATGAACTATGGCCGGATACAATTGCTGTTCATCTTTTGAAGACACAAGAGAAGTGGATCAAGACATTGGAATATTTCAATGCTACCAAGAATCTCAAGCCATCTAAAATGTATCATATACCTTAAGATGGATTTTTTTTTTAAAACTATGATTTTGGTCATTCTTTTCATTTATTTCTGCCCATTTGTTGATGTAGCAACCCTTTGAGTATATTTTGATAACTATACATAAATTTTTATTACAATTTTGAGATGATAACTTTTGTACTTCTATTTACAGAGCCCTTAAGATAATAAAATGAAGGATTTAATTTAAGAGTCTCTTAAATTTAAGATAGTAGTTACTATGTAAAATTGTCTACAACCTCAGTATACTCAAATTTTATAGACGACATATCCTGTGTATATTAACAAGAGTAGTAGAGTATATACAATCATAGCGTTAATTAAGTTCATTCTTGATAATAATAAATGTTTAGCTATATTAATTGCAAATTTGCAATTGATTGTCAAACTTAATAAATCGTTGAATCAAGACGAAAACAAAAATGAATAAAATAATGAGCTTGCTTTAAGTTGTGACTTAAGAGGACTTTTGCGTTAGTGCTAACGTAACAAACTCAACGACGGTGGTAAGGTGTCAAACCATATGGTGAGGGTGGATGCAGGCCTAAAACGTGACAAGTTGCAGATTATAATGCAAGTTTCACATGAATTGTCATGCTTAAGTTTTACTATAACCTTATACAAAGGTGAGGTTAAGGGGCGGGTTGGGAGCGAATGCATCCCCCAACTGCGGAACCGGAATTTTTTAATAAGGGGGCTAAGCGTAATATATGTAGTAATATGTCTCGTATAAAAATAATATGGAGTATATTGAAATATGAAGAAAAAAAAATGAGACCAAAAAAATATATGTTAGGGAGAAGGTTTGAATTTAGAGCTAGAAAAAGATCTCCATATTTTCACCGAAGACCAACTCATCTATATTACAACTAACATAAATTAATGCAATATTTATTAGATAACTTAAACCAAGGGGGAGGCCAAGGCCCACCCAGCCCCCCTGGTTCCGCCCCTGCCCAACTCTCCCTAAAATTTTTATCCTCATCCCTGTCTCGTTAAAATTTTAAATTTATCATCGCTTTATTACTCACCGAGGTCCACATATTCGTTTCTTGAGAGAGATTGTTATATACACCTGGGTGCACCGTACACTCAACTAACTCAAGGTTAGTTTTTGCTCTTCATTTGATGATTAAATAAAAAAAAATGAAAACGAAATACTTATGGGTGTACAGTGCACCCGGGTGTATATAACAAATTCCAATTTCTTGACACGTTTTAGGTCTGCATATGCACATGATGTGTGTACGAAATTTATATAGAAAATGTAGACCAATGTAAAACCTTCAGTTTTATATTATTTACAATGATTAAACGCTTTATAGTTTATTCTCACACTTTATGTCAAAATGTTACACTGATATGAAAAGGAGGTAGAATAAGCAATTTTATGGAAAATATAGGCATTAATACCAATAGTATCTTGGCCCAATCGGCCTAACTTGACAAATTTAGTTGGAATCAGGCAAAAAACATTGGGCTTTGTTAGATTTTTGGCAATATTATGTGTTTGCAAAAGGCTATTTTGGCGTTACGGCTAAGTGCAATCTAGATTGGCCCAAATTTCTTGGGTTGGTTGGAAAAAGTTCTTCCTAATTTGGGCGATGCCGAATTTTTAATCATGTTGTAAATTGTAAATCGAACTTGGAGTAACAATTCTTAATCCTTGAACTATTTTTGTTGAAATAGTTTTTTACAAACTTATTTTACCGGAATCCATTTGAGTTGTAAGTTACACCTAGTGATCTAGATGAGTTGAATTTGCTCAAGGGTTTTTGCTGGGGATATTTATGGGGATCATGCAGTGTCTTGTGCTGGGATGGTGGGTATTAAACAAGCACAACGTTGTTCGTGATACCCTTGTTGATATTTGTTTCCGCTCTGGGATTTCTGCAAGGAAGGAGGTCAAAGTTGGGTTGACTGGAGGGAACGACGGGGCTCTTCGGCCAACAGATGTGTTGCTTTACTCCTGGGATAGAGGCCTAGATGTATGTGTTGACTTGACGGGGTCCTTCTCCATTGACTCAATCTGGGTTGTCTGACTTCGTTCCTGGTCGTGTTGTGGCGGCTGCGGCTCAGCGGAAGCGAGACAAGTATGGGGCGCGTTGCAGGGCTATTGGCTATGATTTTCTCCCTTTCTCCTTTTCTTCATTGGGGGAATTAGAGAAAGATGTTGTTGCATTGCTGAAGTGGGTTCAGGCGTTCGCTAGGACTCAGGATATTGGTGCTCGTGCGGCTGCTCACATCTTTAACAGGATTGGGTTCGCTATAGCTAGAGGGGGTGGGGGCCCAGATTGTATCTCGGCTTCCCACTAATTTCTTGTAAATCGTTTGACTTTGTAGGTGTTTATTATAATAATAATAATAATAATAATAATAATAATTAATTAATTAACTCTTTAAATATCAGTAGACCACCCGGCACAGTTCCCTAGGAACAGTAGGACAGTGCGCGGACGGTACTACCCTTCGTCTGGGGTTTGTTTCACAGTTTTGCCACCGCCATTCTTGTTGTTCTTGCTTTCCATTTTTCCCTCACCATCACTCATTTGCTTCACTCTCTTTCTCTCTCTTCTTCTATTTTGGTTTTTACTGTTGATTCTCTCTCTGTACTTGCTTCTTCTTTCAATTTGGTTTTCTTCTCTTTGTTCGCCATTGAAGCTTTCAATTTGGTTTTCTTCTCTTTGTTCGCCATTGAAGCTTATATTAGGTGATTTAGTGTGTTTTTTTCTTTCTCTTCGTTTATTTTGAATTTTAATTTTGGGTTTTTTTTTTTCGTAATTGCTTGCCTTTTCTTTTAATTTTGGTATTCTTCTTTTTGTTCGTCATTGAAGTTTAGATGAGGCGATTTAGTGTATATATATATATTTGTTTACTTATTATTTGAGTTTTGAATTTTACTGGTTTCAATTCTTTTTCTTTGATAATGCAAAATTAGCTTAAAACATCCCCCACCCGCGAAATCCCCTTTTCCTTCCCGATCCAAGCCCGGAAATGATTAACGAGTGTGTTTAAATCATTTGAATTTTACTGATTTGGGTTTATATTTTACTGGTTTCACTCATATGAATACATGCATCTCCTAATCCACTATCATTAATATGTACAGTTACCCCTGATTACTCTTTGAATTTAACTGATTCCGATTGTTTCTTTCAGGGTTATTTTGCGGTATTCCTGGAGAAATTCACTCGGGTTTGAAGGTGTCAGTGAGTTGGGTGTATCTGTTGTGAAGGTACTAATTCTGAATTCATAATTGATTAACTCTATTCAAGTTCAAATTAAATCAAATCAAATCAATTTTAGGTTTTCTTTTTACATTTGGTTGAGGTAATTTAGATTAAAAAGTGTAATATCATATAAGAACATGCAATTGATGTTGGAGGTCTGACAGGGGAGGATGAGGTTTAACAATGGCGATAATTAGATTTTTTGGCTGCTGTTTGCAGTTTTGCATGCTTGAGATTTGTGCCGAAATGAGGAAATATAAGATTGTTGCAACTGAGGTTTATGACTAATAAAATTCAATTAGATTATTTCGTTAGATGAAGTAAAACAGAAATTTTACACCTACTATAATTTCCAGAATTTTGCATATTAATTTAAATTATGTGTGAAAAATTAATCTCTGTTTTAATATGTGATAATTCAGTTTTTACACCTATTATAATTTCCAGAATTTTGCATGTGGGAGAAGTTCAGGGAATTCCACTTCTGGAGCTGATTCTACCGAATCTAAGGAAAAAGGGAGAGGTAAATAATCAGTTCTTTACTCATTGATGTTATGCAGTAAACTGATTTAAGGGGAACTAGGGGAGGGGCTCTTTTGGCAGTATCTTTATATGTTAGTTATGAGTAGCTTGGGATTTGGAAATTAATTAGATATAATTAGGGAATAAATTCTATGTATAGAGAAGATTATGGAGAGGGAAAGGATGTCAATCTTGATGATAGTTTTTTTTTAGCATTTATGTTGCTTATTGGTTGAGAATGGAGCCTTTTGATAGCTTGAATATCCTTCATTTTGCTGCAATTACAGATTATTAATCAAATTGCCTTTTTTTTTTTTTACCTTTTTTTTGCCGTTTTTGATGTTGAAACTATTTAATTTATAACATGTTGTACACGTGTAGCTATTTTATATGAATCTCTGTTTAGTAAACTGCCTTGTGGCTCTGAGTTATATTTTTAACGGTCTTGCCATTGTATTCTAATTTTCATTGCTTTTCAGCTTTTTTGTCCTTCTTCCCTTTTTCTTTTTCCCTAAAATCAGATGCTATTACACAGTCTATCCTTCTTCTTTTCTCTCTCTTCGTACTTGCTTCTTCTTTAACATGCAATTGGGTTATGTATATTAGTCTATTAGTTTTCGGAGGAGTTGTAGTTGATTTGATTAATATTACATATATAAGAGCATGCAATAGATGTTGAAGGTAATTTGGTTTTCTTTTCTTTGTTCGCCATTGAAGCTTATATGAGGTGATTTAGCTTTTATTTTCCTTTTTGTTCGTCTATTTTGAATTTTAGTTTTGGGATTTTCTTTTCGTACTTGCTTGCTTCTTCTTTTATTTTGGTATTCTTCTTTTTGTTCGCTAATAAAGCTTCCATGAGGTGATTTAGTGTATATATTTGTTTAATTATTTGGGTTTACTATTTGTGTTTTGAATTTTACTGATTCCGATTCTGTTTCTTTGAATTTTATTGATTATGATTGTTTCTTCAGGGTTATTTTTGGGTACTTGTCATTACATAAAACAAAAAAAATATTATAATAAAGAAATGGAAAAAAGGACAGGATTCACATTTATATTTTTGTAGAATATTTACATTCTATTTGTTTAGTTTCATTCACCATTTAATGGGCATAGATTATAGACTATAGCTTGGCTGGACAGTAATATTTTTTCCTGTACTTTATAACCAGTCTACAATTTGTATGTCTAGACACGGTACGAGTAGTATTTATTAAGTAAAATTTGTTTATACTTGAGTAATGGAATAGTAAAGCTGTTGATTACATTTGATTTTATAATTTATACTTCTACTGGCATATTTATGCTGCTGTTTTGATTATGTCTTTACTCATTTCCTCCCATTCTCTTTTCAATGTCTTTTGAAAAGAAATCTTTTTGATACTCCCCTCTTTAGGCTAGAATATATACAAACAATATATACAAAGCATTGATTACTAAAACTATAAAGTTATGAAAATGTTCTGATATAACCACAACTGGAAAATGTTTAAGAAAAAGAAAATTAGAATAACACAGAAAGACCAACATCAGAACCACGATCCTTTTTGAATTAACATTTTTGTTTGTAATCTTTTCGGTTTTTTTGGGTTGAATTTGCGATTTCATTGTAATGTTTGGTTTTTGATGTGATTATTTATCTGTTTTTCGTTTTTTTTGTTTTTTTTGTTTTTTTGTTTTTTTTTTTTTTGTTTTGCTAATGGAGTTATGGTATAACAGACTGCTATCGACATAATGAGGTTATTGTGTGATTGTATTTTTTGTTGTTTTGATGAGGTTATTGTGTGATTCTTTGTCTGAATTTTGATTTTATTTTCTACTCAGCTTAATTGTTTGCTGAAAAGGTCATTGTATCCACCAAGCACAATGATGACGAGCAGTTCGTTTGGGAGTCTCAAGCTGGTGGTTCCTTCACTGCCACAAGGGACACTACTGGTGAACAACTTGGAAGGGGTACTAAGATCACCCTTTTCCTCAAGGAAAATCAGGTATATTTTTGCCCTCGAAAATAGCCTGCACTTTGCTTATCTACAGTGTTTGGTCTGTTTTGCCCTAAAAGAAGTCCAAATTTCCGCCCTCTCACCATAACCACAAATTCATCTCCTCTAATTTCAGTGTTGATAGATTGAGAAGCAAACCAACTACAGCCACAACTTCATCTCCCTCCTCCTCTTCTCCTGAGCTCTCCATGTTTTGCTCTTTCTCCTCTGTTGAAGCCCGCTGTTGAGGTAAGGGGTTTTTTTCTTCCTTTAAATTGTCCAATATGAATTTCACATTTGGGAGTTCAATTTCATATTATTGTCTATTTAACTGTTGAGGTACCATTTCCCCTTTCCTCTTTCATTTTTTTGTTTGTTTTTACTGGATTTACTCTGAATTTATATATTTCTGGTTTTTAATTTATGTAATTGAAATCTGGGTTTGAAATTTTGTAGGGAAATATAGAAAGGAGAAATTCTCAACATTATTTGCCCTTCGCACTGAAGCGACTTATGGGATTCTACTCCTTCATGAGGTAAGATTTTCTTTCTTCTTATTAATCACCCCGTATCAATTTCACAATCTAAGGTTTATAGAAACTTAATCGTACTCAATTTAGGGTTATTCTAAGGAACATTATGAAACTATCGATTTAGGGTTATTCTAAGTTAGATTATGAAACTATTGATTTAGGGTTATTCTAAGTTAGATTATGAAACTATTTATTATAAATCTTATAATCATTGAAGTAATGAAATATTATAACGAGCAAATTTTTTTTATAGATGATAGGTCATTTTTATATGAAAAACTTCTCATTAGATCTTTCAATAAACATTGTCGACCTTATATGGTACAAAGTAGAAATACCATACATTAACGTACTTAATGTTTATTACCTCTAAGCTTCAAAACGGCTTCCTTGATAATTGTTATTCTTTTTTTGTTTGGTATTTGCAGATACCAATTGCACCTTTTTGAGTACTAAGATGGCTAGAAGTTAATTCAAATTCAAGCACCCTTGTGGTTCGTACAATTTCTTTTTTCTGTGCCCTTTCAAATTTTGAATTTTTGGTGTAATTTGAATGTTTGATGATCAATTTTTGTGGAATATGCATCTGGGTTTGTTGTTTGTATGAATCTTGGAAGCAAATGGTCTTAATTGATAATTTACGTGATTCTAATTGATGATTATAATTGCTCACCAATAAGATGGGTTCAATTTTAAGAATAATTTTTGAGGCAAGTATAAATATAATTCGTACTCCTAATAATACAACACTATTCATAAACATTTTTAGAAGTAAAATTTGATTTAAATGCTTTTGATTTGAATTATTATAGACCCTTTAATTATATAGTTGCTGGTGAAAAAAAATTAATGATGCTCATACGCTAACATAAACAAGCCTTAATTGAGATGGAGTTTGATACAATAACTTTTTAGATGTTAGCTATAGAGATTATTGAGATGTAATACCTGGGAAATCTATATAGGTTACAATGTCTGCCAGTGGCTATAGAGTTCTCATAATTGGTCCTGAATGGAAGAGCTTGTATGATATTTGGTTTCGTGTGGAGAGCTTGTATCATATTTGTTTGAGTTAACTAACATTCTTGCTTCAACTGTGTTAAGCTGTTGCTACAATTTTTTGCTGAATTCCTGCCTTGATTTACTGATATTTTATTCTGAAATTTGAGAAGATTTGCTCTATTATGAATATATCGGCCATAAATTTCTGTTAGCCCACATGCTTGGTTTACAATTATTGTCGTTGTTTTCCTCAATCTCTCTCAATTCTCTCTCTCTCTCTCTATATGTGGTAGTTTAGTGAGAAACATAGAAATTAACTAAGAAAGAACTGAAGACTCATGAAGCAATAATACATGATGAGGAGAGCCCAGAAATTAAAGCACAGGGAGTTCATCAAAATAATAATGGCAAAGAAATCAAGGGAAATTCGCTTTGCTGTTAGATGTGTGCCCCAATCAATTGAGGCTGCACTTCAAAAGGCTGTTCTAGATAGTTCCAATAATGATTGGTTATTATTGCATCAGGTATCGTGCTTAGTCAACATCTTGTTACATCTGTTGGTTTCTAAAATAAGCTATGAAGTAGAGCATTTTAAAGTATGGAGTTAGGACGAATAATCTGCTCTCTTTTTCAGTTCCTAATTTTCAAATAAATCTTGGTGCTTTATATAACTGTACATTAATGATCTACAAATGTGAGTGCTAGCAAACCAGAGGATTGTTGATTCTGTTGCAACACATTTGGAAGTTCCTACAGAACGTGTCTTGCTAATTAGCAAATTATGGTAACACCAGTGCCGCATCAACCATCAATCCCCTTGGCATTGGATGAAGCTGTTTGGAGTGGAAAAGTCCAGCCAAGATATATCATTGCAACATCTGAATTTGGTGCTGGTCTTACATGGGGTTCTTCCATTATTAGATGGGGATAAAAAAGAAAAGATTTTGTGAAATCATCCTCCTGTTTGCAATATCTTCTTATTGTTGGTGAAAGAGGAGGGCGTTAGAGGAAGTGTTGTCGGTTCATTCTTGAAGAATCTCACTTCCCCTGGTTACAGATGATTCAGGAGCAACACCTCTCATAATTCACTGAAGCTCCATCAGAGTGGCCCCTTCGCGTGTTATATCTTTCCCTTTATTGCCAGAATAAGTTTTATTTATTCAAATCAGGTGAATTTATTCACACCTAGGAAAAAAAAACCTTCAAGCTGTTATTCATATTTTTTTTGCAGTGAGATCAGTACACAGAGCTATGAATCTTTTCAGATGAGTGATTCAAACAGCTTCTCTAGGCTTGTTCCTCCTGTCTGCTAGACCGTTTATGTTGAACTGT